TTTTTTTTGGCAATGTTATTAGTTTCTACTTGGAGAATATTTTTAAAAAATACATGTCTTAATTAAGCATATAAGTTTAGTGGGTCCACGTTATTTACCCCCTTTCATTTTTTCCAAAATTTTCTAACGGAAATTATATTCTTTTTAATATAATTTTTTCATAAACAATTTAGAAATTAAAAGATACTTATATTTTATTCACAAAAACCCTAAAAAAATTTGAACTTATATTTTGGAGTAATATTAATTCCTAAACTTGTAGAGGTGCATATTAATTCCCAAACTTGAAAAAACGTCACACGCCACGTCGGATTGGTCAACTCGTTTTTTTGACCAAATAACGCTATGGACGAATATAGAACCGTTTAACAAGTTCATGATTTAACGTGTTCAATTTTTCAAGTTTGGGAATTAATATGCACCTCTACAAGTTTAGAAATTAATATTACTCCAAAATACAAGTTCAGGAATTTTTAGGGTTTTTCCCTTTATTAAATGATGATACATACATACGCTGATCTGTATATATCTACTGTACCCATCTCCTGGTTTCCATGCAACTTGGTCTCCCTGTCTCCAATAAATTACATTATTACCCCTTTGTTACCTTTTGTGAAATGACAAGATAGCCCTTGAGATCTATTGGGTACGACTCTGCGACCGGTACGTAATGTACACCGTGCGAATAATGGACCAATTATTGTCGGACGAAATTCAAATTGCAAAAGTAAGGCCCCACCCTTGCGATTCACTCTAAAGCCTTCAATAATTATAATTGTTTTGACAATTATTTAGTCTTACAAATAATACATACTCCCCATAAATGACAACGGGGTTATATATATACAGAGTCAAATAATTTATAGTTTGTGTATTATTTTTTTGAATAAACGAGTATTCTAAATCAAAATCTGAACTAATTTTGGGATCGAAAACTATTTATATGATTTAGATTATACGTTCTCCCTCCAAATTTAAAGTTTTAATTCGGAGTGAGATATATACTTTGCATCTCTATTTCAATGGTTGAGTTAACCAAATTTAGATAGTTGTGTATTATCTTTGTAGTATTCTAAAAATAAAACTAATATCAGAAAATTTAGATAATCAATACAAAGCTCAAATTTTAATTAGGTTAATAAAATTGGAATATTTATCATTTTAAAAAAGAAAATAAATACAAATGTCTTTTGGAAATTCAAGAAACAGATGGAAAGTATATCAGCCATCATCACGGAGAGGACCGGTGACCTGTGGAAATGATTGAACCGTGAAATTGGGCCATTTTCATAATTCCGAAAAAGAAAGGGGGCGGGGACCAAAAGACATTGTGGATGTTCCACGTGTCGCTCTCTCACAGGAAGATATTCTTTGAAGCAAATCCACGTGGGCCCTATGGCCCCATTCAACACCGTACGAGGCTCGTGGTGTCCACAATCCGCGTGACATACACGTGAACTATTATAGCCCACTGCCAGTCTGCCACCCTTTTTAATAATATATATATATATATATTGCCTATCTAAATTTGGAAATTGCGTGTGGAATATTTTCAGATAAAAAAGTTTACGTGAACATTTTTTTTCATCATTTTCCTTTTATTTTTGTTATTTAGTAATTATTCTAACATAATTATTTCAGGTTTCTGGGTTTTCTCAAAATTATTCTGAGCCACGTAATCAAAATGACTAAATATATATGTATAATAGTCCTTTACAAACATACATATGTATATATGTGTGCGCGCATAACGCGGGCCCGTCACAAAGACTCATGAAAGCCATGTGATGATCACGTGAATAAGACCCCACACGACCTGGTCCGGTTTTGTTTTTCCTTCTCACCCAAATCCAAAAACCAGAGGATTGATAATTACCATTTTGTCCTCGACGATTCGAAGTCAGTAGGGCCCACGTGTCTTCCCGAAACCATTTGACTTGCGTGTTTGCATCTGCATTCCCCTATTCACGCCGATGTAGATATAAAATTTTATTAATCTATTTTTAATAAATAACTCATTTTTTTTTGTAATGAATAAATAACTCATTTCATGCGAATCGCGACGTAGATTTGGTTTAGAAAATCATACAACGAAAATATTGATACCAACAAAAAGGAAAGAAATAAGGACTATGTATGCTGTAATTTTCAACGGATGCGATATATAAGATTATATATATATATCTTATAATATGCCTTTATATTATCCTAATATAATTAACAGTAAGTCTAGTTAATGTAGTTATAATTATTTTTTATGGTTGCAAGAATCTCCAACCATATTAGTTAATGCCGAGAATGAGACAAAAGTTTTTACAATTCGAATAATATTACTCCACCATGTTATCTCCATGATTGATGACGAAGCGAGTAAATTACAATTATTTAGACGTTGTTAACTCGTGTAATGCGCTTTTAATTACATTCCTAATATTATTTATGAAGCCAAAAGTTGGCTTCTGAGGAGATTGACCGGCCATGATTTTATAATAACAAAATACAAATATATAATCATACAGATGGTTCGAAGATCTCTTAATCATGGCACATAATGTGCGAGTAACGACGCTATTGGAAAATTAAAATATATAAAAATCCTGCATATTGCACAAATAAACATGCATATGTACGTAAGTTCTTGTACGTTTCATATTATATACAATATGAAAAGAGCAGACGTTAATGTGAAAAAGGACACGAACAAAAGCCAAAAACAGGGACAAGTTGCAACGCCCATAACTAGTTTCACGTGGAAAGGACGTGGAGCACAAACTTTCAGGCGACAGAATCATCAGACAGCGAGGCACACGTGTGTCCTCGTACCCCGCACGTGCAATCTTGGTCAAAACGCCAATTCTGGTCAACGGTCAAAACCCACACCACACCACCTTCACCACCATGTTAGACCACGTCCCCTTTTTTTTATTCGTAAATTAGTAATGTATATTAGATATCGACGTTACGTGTATAATAAATAACATCACGTACGTTGCAATAAAACGGACCAAAAATATATACTCGCGCGCACAATATCTTAAAAACGATTACAAAATAGTGCGTATACTATAACATGTATGGCAAGAAAGAAATGAACGTGTGCATGCATGCATCGTAATAACGAAACAAAAATGGGTACGTAGTTCTAAAATCGATCATGGAATTGATATTAAGATATATTCACAGTAACATTTTATTATATATGGAAACTAAACGGGAGCGGAGATACCGGCCGCGCCGGTCATCATCATAGGATTCGATTAACCTTCCTCGGATCTCTCTCACGTGCACGTGCGGCCATTTCCGAGAATGTGCCCGGAAATAATAATATGCCGTAACTGTGTAACTGCGTTCGGAGATTGGTCCCACGTGTCTCTGCCATGTGACCGGCTGAGCTGGTCACATGCGATTAACCGTTGATCAATATCGTAATGATCATATGCTTAGATGGGGTGTGTAACCACGGATTAAACTAATGTTTAAGAGCTGTGCCGCACGTGTCGTGCCGGTACGAGATCTCTATTATAACATAAATCATTCTATGTATTTACGGGTTTACCCTTTATTCGGACCGTAACGCATCGCACATTAGTCTATACTCACTAGAGGGCAAATCGGGAAATATATTCAAATGCTTCTATATTGAGCATGTTTGGTTGGTGGTGGAGTTTCATATAAGTTATTGAGCATTGGGAAAAATATATAATGGATATGCGACCGACTCAATTATTATATGAGATTTGTGAGAAAATATCGGCTATAATGATTTGTAAGGGAAATTAAAATAATTAATGATAGATGATTACTCGATTGGCCTAAACATCTTTTGCTTAAAATGATGAAAGCTGTTCCCCACAAAACAATATAATAACTGTGTGTGCGTGTGATCATATATATATATACACATATATTATACCGGATTGAAACTTCAATAATTTCCCTCTAAATAACAATTAATTGTCATTTAATAATTAAATTAAATGGTCCACTTCGACTGGATCGACTTTCCGAAAGAAAAAACAGATAGCTGTGATTTTTAAGGAATCAATCCTGTGGCATTAATGTAATAATAAAAGTTTAGATGTTGGCATATAGAACATGGTCCACTTGTCCTAGTCTACCCTCCATTATTTCATCATGACTACAATATATATATAAATGTATATATATCATTTTTAAATATAAATAGGATCCATTTTACCCAATTTGGGCAACTCAACTGGGGATGCAAAGCGTCTGTTTCGCTCCGAGTTCGAATATTAAGTTGAGGAAAAATGTATAATTCCAAATCACATGGCTGACTCTCGTCTCCGAGATTAGTTGAGTTTCGGTTTAAGATATTCGGTTATTAAAAAAAAAAGATCCATTTTCCTTTTTTTTGGAAGAAACAAACATTCAAGACCATAAGAATACATATGGGTGTATATAACCAAAAACAATTGCCGTTCATTGATATTAGTTTTTAAGATTTGTCGGGAAAAAGGATTATTTGTTCTAAAATTTTAAATTATAAAATTTATTTTCCACACACATCAGACATTTGAATATAAATACTTCTGACATTTTAAACACCTTGTTTGTTCAATCATTAGGTTTTCATATTTGCTTGATTCTTAGATAATTCAGAGTCCAACCCAACCCTCCTTTTATAGATTATTTGGGCTTAAGGCCCATATTGAATTCAGGTTATGGGCCTAGGGTTAGTTGGCCCTATGATAGCTTCAAGGTCATTTCCCCGTTAATTTCGCGCCAAACCAAGAATAAAAAACACAATAATTACTAAAAAATAAAATAAAAATAAAAGCGTGCAACACGTGTATTAACTGCTACGGTGTCGTTTTGCTGTCACTGTCCCCCCCTCCCCCTTCACATACGGACGAAATCGCCCATTCGAACCAACGGAGGGTGGGAAAGGTAATAAACAAAGAGAGAGGGGTTGAGTTGACTGAGGGGATGGCGACGGTGCTGCAACTTCCGGTGATCGATTTCTCCTCGGAGAAAAAGCTCTCCGCCGCCGAATCTATCCGTCAGGTTCTTCTTCTCTCTCTGTCTTTGAAATGTGAAGAAATGGTGTGTGCGTACACGTGTATTACATCTATATATATGCAATTATGCATCTATGAAGTCTGGGCTTACGAATGTCGATGTGTGTATATCCAAGCAACTCCAGATTCTTTGGGTTTCGACTTCGATTTTGGTGCCTGAATGGAAAATTGAATTGTGTAGGGCAACTGAGCATGGTTTCTGCTGATCAATCGTTTGATATTATGTCTAATTGACCATTAGCTCAAAGGGAGTTTTGTTTCCGAGAATCTGAGAAGGGGTCCGATTTATAAGGTAGACAGCAGTTTTGATACATTCTCCCCAATAAATAATAGGTATGTTGGACTGAAATAATAAAGCCGGGCAACGTTTAAAATGTGACGGTGCTTCCGTTCAACCACGGAATTTTGTTGTGGGGTATATGGGCAAGAGAATTGGTGATGGATGCCTTTGGCCTGGAGGAGTTTGGTAAAAGCAAGTTCGGGAGCATTATCCGAACGAATTTGTTTGACAGTGGTTTGGAATTGAGTCTGAACATAGGCCAAGAACTCAGAAAATTTGGAAAGAACATCAGATTTAGAATGCAACAAATACACCCATGTAAGACGAGAGAAATCATCAACCAAAGTGAAGAAATATTTATAGCCATCATATGTTTCTACATGAAACGGTCCCCAAACATCAAGATGAATTACATCAAAACTTGCAGAACATCGATGACCACCAAAAGGAAAAGAAAGGCGAGGCTGTTTAGCAAGGGGGCAAATGTTACAGCCATGATAAAAACCAGGGGAAACGGAAAATTTGGGCTGAGAAGATGCCGCAGAGCCCTGAATACGGTATGTAGATGGGTGTCCTAAACGAAGATGCCAAAGATCGTCTGAAGAGACTGACACAGCTGTACAAAGAGACGCCGGAACATAAGATGCAGTAGAAGCACCCTGCATCGCCATGATGTAGAGATTGTTGGACCGACTACCCTTCCCAATCGTCAAGCCCCGAGTAGGGTCCTGGATCAGGTAAGAGTCATGAGAAAAACAGACTGTGAGGGATGTATTTTGAGTAAGTGCACTGACTCTTAAAAGATTGAAACGAAAACAGGGCACATATAAAACAGAGGTGAGAGTGATGAACTCAGACAGAATAACAGAACCAGAAAAAGAGACTGACATAGCATCACCATTAGGGAGAGTTATGGTTATAGGAGAGATACAATGAAGATCCGAAAATAAACGAGAATCACAGCAGATATGGCTCGAGGCACCTGTGTCGAGTATCCAAACAGAAGGAGGGAAAGAAAAATAGGGTTCAAGGGCTGAAAAAATGACAGGCAAGGAAGGAAAGATACCTGAGGTGGGAGCAGATGGAGCAGTGGGTGTGGGGGCTGTCAAGGCTGAATCTGTGGAGGAGATGCCAAGAGTCTTGAGACGTGACTGAAACTGATCGAACAACACTTGAGCCTGAGCCAAGGGGTCAGATGCCGAAGTAATAGCAGGTTGTTCAGAGCCATGAGATGGAATATCCCTAGTAACCAAGTTCACAGAAGCAAAAGGGCGAGACGGGGAAAAGTGTTTAGGGGTTGGTAATAGGGGTGGTTTGGTGGAAGGAGAGGGGTGGTTACGAGTAGAAGAAGGGTATCCATGAAGCTTGTAGCAACGGCTGATAGTATGACCCAGGAGGCCACAGTGAGTGCACTGTGGGCGAGGTTTAGAGGTAGGGTTGAGAGAGAAAGAGAGTTCGGTTTAAGATATTCG